ATTCTCTTGCCTACTAAATTTACATGCAATTCCAGGGTTTTGTTCTGGGGGACATCCTAGAATTAGTACACAGACTGATGTCACAAGGCTGTTCTCTAGATTTCCTCTCTGCATTGAAGGCAGGAACATTTATACTTGAAAGCTTTTTATTTTTTCACTTGTGGCATTTGAATTTCAATACACCCTGTGGACATTTCAGCTTTGTCAGCTTGACTGTTATTAAGCTGCAATCATTTATCATCATTGGCAATGATTTTATGTCTAGTTTTTTTTAAACAGGTATTGCGGAACATTTATTGGTAAACTGCTGTGAGCATGCAAAGACTTAAGATGTGTAATTTATGAAGTGATATTTATGTAGCAGTGCTTTATGATGGAAGGATGTGCTGAGGAAGTGTTTGAGATGTCCTTTTATTTTTGGATGAGCCAGAAGTCTTTGTTTCCATCTCAGTTTAGGCCCTGGCACAGAATGATTGAGGATCTGCAGAAGCCCAAAAGCTTTTTCCCATCTAATGGCATGAAAGAATGTGTAAATAAAACTGACAAACATAAAAATGCAATAAACTACAATTGTTTCATGAATTTATAACCTGAGGGGGCAAAGTAATAAAAAAGCTATAAATTCATGTCAGTCATGAGCCTTTATTAAGAGCTACTGAGCAATGCATGTAACGGGCAGAGCAACAATCTCAGTGTATCTGAGTGCTTTCCATGAGCATTAACTGGAAGGGGCTTGCTAAATATGAGATAATTTTATTCTTCATGCTCTGTGTGTACTTGCACACACATAGGTTTTTAGTCTCTATGTGATAGCATGTTTTTATTGTAAGTCCTTAAATGCAATGTGCAATTTTAATTAATAAGGATAGATGAGTTAATTTCCAAATTACCTCAGGGAGGATTGTGAAACTTCACAACCTGACATTTGGAGAGGGAATCATCTTTTCTGTCTTTTAGGTACCAGGGTGAAGGAGAGATTTTATGTTGTCTGTGCTGTTTGCTCTGGCTACCCTGCAATCCCTGCACAGAGTAGGTTTCCCAAAGAGTCATTTTTCCTGGATGCAAATTCTAGAATAGGCTAGAGTGAACTTTTAGGGTGCCTGTTCCCTTCCAATGACAAATGAAGGAGAGTCTGGGTAGATGGATTTGAGCTATGAGTTGCCCTGACTCTAGATGTCTGAGCTACTGTTGCAGTCAGGGGAATTCTGGTCAGTGCTATTAATGGTGTCTAGGGAGCTCTTCAGCTAACCAAAGGCAAGCTTAGATTATGATGAGCTCATTGATTTCTAGACACCACTAATAGCATTGATATCAAAAGTTAGGTGAGCTGACTCCCACCCTAGATGTATAAATGCTGATGGTATATACATGAAGTTAGAAGAAATATTTGCAGTCTTTCTGGGTTGTATCCTGTAGCATTTGACAAAAGAAGATGAAGTTTAGTCCAGAAATCTGCAGTTCAGAAGCATCAATAGTACTTATAAGACCAAAGGAGAACTTGTAGGGAGCCCTTAGTAAACTTGTTGTTTGGATGTTCACGCTCATTTTTACATCATAGTCTTTGAGCTCATTTCCTCAGATCTGCAAAATGGGAAAAGTAAAACAGAATGTGAAAGCAGAGGATTCTGTGGACTCTCCTATCTGTGTTGCAGTGAAGCTGCTGATTGCAGATCTGTTTAACTAAATGTGTTTATTCCAAAGTGTCTGAAATGCTTCCATAGCAGATATTTGGTTGGTGATAAGAAAGGACTGTAATGTTTCCTTTGGGGATAACTAGCATAGAAAAAAGATTATTTGAGGTGGCATTCATTACTGATGGCATACTGCCCATGCTTGGAAGTGGCTTGGGACACAAGCAATTGTGTATAAATAGCCTCAGATGTGCTATTGCATAGCAAAGCCTAATATAAATAAACAATCATTAAAAATTACTAACATAAAACAAGGGAGTAATCTTTGCTTTCTCTTGTACTCCTACCCAATTAGAATGGTTTTCTTGACAAGGCATTTGAACTATTGAAGTGAGAGATGCTATTCCAGGCATAATGCTGGTTTTGTTACAAGGGACTGCTTATATGGAATTGTTAGGCAATTGTGACGTTAGTAAATACTTTGTTTGCTTGTACAAATATTATTAACAATCCATTAAAAGAATCCATAAAAGATTCAGAACATGTTTTGCTCAGCTTTCTGATGGTGTTCAATGAAAGAAGATGTGATGTGAGGTTATTAGGGTGTGATTATTGCTCACAAGTCTGTTATTGATCAGAGAATCAATAGTGAACATGGTAGAAACCCTTCCTAGGACCATGTGAGCTGCTTATTGATGGGGCTGTTTAAAAAAGACTCATTAAAAGCCAGTTGAGGTGTACAAGTTTGGTCATTCTTCCCATCCCTGTGAAAATCTACACCTCAGGAAATTATATAATGTGTAAAAGTTCTATTGCTCCCCAAAACCTTTCTGTCCCTGCTTGGGATGGGCTCAATTCCTGCACAGGGCTTGAGCTCCTCAAGAAGAGAGTTGGGCATGCCAGGAATCAGCCCAAGCATTCTGTGCTTTTTGGAGAGGGACTTGGAGAATAGTGAGAAGGACCTTTCTGTGCTACAGAATATTTGTCTGTCCTCAGGTGTTGCAGGCACCTGGGCAGAGACAGCAGGTTGCAGGCACATTATCTATGGTGGGACCAAGGAAGGGAGTGCTGTACTGTTGGTGTTCTCACTGACCCTCACCTCTCATCCCTCTGCTGTCAGCTGGTAGGTTTGAGAGCAGTGTTTGATGGTCACCCTATGTATATCCTTGTTGACACTGTCAGTGACTGCTGAGTAAACTTCAGAAAGGAGAATGGGGGCAGAGAATATGGCATAGACAGCCATACAGTTCCATACAGGAACTGGAGAATATGTGTTTTATCATGTAGACTGTATATTTGCAAAGGAAACCAGTTCCTCTTTGAAGAGGTCTCTTTCAGGAAGGATGCTCAAAATCAGTTTTGATAGGTAAGAAGCCAGACATGTCAGTAAAGGCCACCTGCTCTCAAATCCAGGAGTAAAACCAGAGACTCTGTGTGATCTGACTCAACTTCCAGAACTAAGTTCAGCTTCTGCCACTGTGCACTGCAGGAGATTCTTTGTTTAGAATATTTAATAAAATATTGCTTTATACAGTCAAGATACTTATTTTTTGGAAACTTTTGTGAGAGACAGTATCAGCTTTAGCTGTTGTCATTTTTTCTTTTAGACAGTATCAGCAATTTTCTGTGTTTTGGTGACACAACTAATTTTGCATTTCAACTATAGTATCTATGTTCGCTATGGATGTTTCTATAGCAACCACCTTGTGCTCTCTACATACCTCTATGGATGGATTAAACATGCAATATAAAATTCATGCCTGTTGCAGCATGTTTTAAAAACTTTTTGAGTACTATGAAAATAGAATGACCATCTCTGTCACCTTTGTATTCTCTAAGAAACCTGTTTGTTTATCTTTGGTTTTTATCTAACTTGGTATCGTCTTAATATTTCACCACCTTTTACTCTAAACCCATCCAGTACCTCTAGGGGAGAGAAAAGTGTGAAAGATATCAAATAATCTGGACTTTATCTGATGCAAATAATGTGTGGTAAACCAAGGAACTGAGCTGTGGCCTCTGAAGTCATTATTTGAGGCTCATTATCCTCAGTTTCTCTCAGCATCTCACCAAAGGATTCAGGTAAAATTTTCCATCAGCAATTTCCTTTGTAGAAATCACAGGGTTTATGTTGTATAAAAACCCTCCAAACTTTACAATTTTATTTGCTTCTATTGCTTTCAGTATATAGTGCCCTGCATGTGGCAACAGGTGGCTAAAATTTCATCTACAGCACCAGATCTGATCTTTTCCCAGTTTATGCTACAAATTCACTTAGAAAGTTATTTATTACTATAGGGATGGGACAGAACAAGGACTGAAACTGGTCACACCCAGTTTTCTTCCATTTCTGCTTCTCTTTTAAAAGATTTAACTTCATTTGATGGATTCTGATTCCACACCTCATGCATATATTCCTCATTACAACTGTATCCATTTCATTACAGTAATCCCAGGTGGATTTAGAAATTGTATTTGAGGAGCAGATGAAAAAGCTTTAACACTTTCAGTCTGGCAGCAGTTAAAGCTGGAACCTGAAAAGAGTAGTTGTAGTGTAATCATCCTTTTTCCTATTCTAACTCATGCATTTGCTCTGTTTTAGTGCGTTGTCATTAACTCCCTGCTTTACTCATAATCCTTAATTTGAATTAGAGTTTAGGCGAGTTGCCAAATTAGATGCTCGTGACACTGATAATCACCATTTTTTCATGTTCTTTGATGGTGTTTAATCTTTTATCAGCAATACTGCCTTAATAGTCCATTCTTACCTATTCCATTTCTGCAAGTTTTTGCATCCTCAGTGATTAGGTCTTTGCAGCATGGGGCAATTAAGTGCACTACAGAAGTGGCTAATTAAGGTCAGTGGCAGTTAAGCACATGCTTTTATTGCTTTGCTGAATAAGGATGCGATTGAGCACACATTTAAGTGTTTCAATGAATTTTCAGCCCATGGAAAGAAACCATCACTTTTTAGATTGGGTGTATTAACTCATAAATGTTGTAGTGCTGTTCTTCTGTAACTGTAGTTGATAGATAACTATGATTTGGAGGAGCAAGTGTGTAGGAGAATACTACTCATAAACCAGCAGGGATTAACCGAATGACTCTTTATTCACTTTTCCATTAGTGGGGTGTCAGCATGATATTCTGTCTTTTGACGTCTTCAATTGTTCCCAAATTTACTTTAGTTGTATGAGACTGCAATTTAGTGGTGGAATTCAACTGGGAAAGAATAATGAATTTCTTAAGGCTTAAGTTCTTGAGGCTCAGTCGTCACCAGGATAACTGAAAAAGCAGCATTTTATATGTTTCCATTATTGACACTATGAAAATGAGTGCCCTTCTTGTGATGTTTCTTTGCCCACATAGTCTGCAAACAGGACTTCAGAGCTCTTTCCTGGTAAAACACTTGATGTTTTTCAGGCTCATGCACTGGGTGGAATATCCTAAAACAAAACCTGCTTGTAGGAGAGAAGGGTCTAAAAGGAAGAAAAGCAACAGCATGAGCTATTGACCTGTGTTTCTTCTAACATTTGACAAGACTGCAGCAGAGTTAGAGGGCAGTGAGGGTATGAGTCCCAGGATGTCATGCTGGCAGACAGAACACAGGTTTGGATTGTAATGCTCAACTATCTGTGTTTGTGCTGCTTGCCTGTCATGCAGGATATCGAGTTCAGATTCACGGAAGATGGGACGTCACGTCTACTTTGAAATCAGGTCGAGCGCTACACACTGTGTGGCACTAGGGACAAGACACTGGCTTGTAAAAGAGAGGCAAACAGGATGTTAGTTGGGGAGAAAATGTCTAGTATGACATTCAGACTGGATCCTTGGCTGTTTTTCATCAGTATGGTGACCAATCCGTCGTGCTGGTTGATACCAGTGGGGAATGTAGGCCTGCAGCTCTTGGAGGCATTTGGCCGCTGCTGGTGTACATAATGGCCTGTATTGCAAGATATGATTTTTTTATTTGAAACTAATTTTTAGAAGAATGAAAAGAATATGGGATGGTAGGGCCAAACAGCTAGTTTCATAGTGCTTTTAGATTTTTACTGCTTATATGCAGAGTGGAAGAGATTGCCATTTGAAATGCTGTGTGCTCTGCTCAGTTGTGCTCTTTTAAAACCTCTTCCTGTAAGTCATAGAGATATTAGTGGAAGAGTTTAAAAGTGAAACCAGACAGACACCAGAAGAAAATCAAATTTTGACTTGAGAGAACATTCTGCAGTGAGTAGATGTTCTAAAAGAAAGTGTTGAGTCTGGGAGTAGAGCAGCACCTGTTGGTGACATGTAATTAGTTGGAATATCTGTCTACTGGGTGGACCTTGTGCTCACTGAGACCAGACATGTCCTGCCCTTTCCTTTTGTGCAAACCTTATGATGTGCTCTACTGCTGAAATCCCCAGTCTCAACAGACTTTTAAGGTCTAGCCCAAGACTTGATGGATTGAAACCTTTTCTATCTTTTTTTCTGTGTCTCTGAAAAGACTTTTTCAGGGGACAGTGCTGACTCAGCCAGCCTGACAATCAAGATGCATGGATGGAGCATGGGGTGGAAGGGACATGCTTGCATTCAGTCAAGCTTTAAAAGACTGTTTAGCCCCTAGGGTGGGAAATCAGGGAGACTATTTGCAACCATCTAGAGGATTCATAAGCCCTGTTCTCAGTGATTTTTTTGATGCAAGTTATGAGACAGCTCAAGTGCTCTGAAGTGATGACAGCTGAGAATTTGCTGGCAGCTGCCCAAATTCCATAAGCAATCCTGCAAATATGGGCCATGGCATAAGCACTGTGCAGTTTGTAGTTTACCTGTTGTTTGCATTAACACAAGAGTCTGTTACGCCTGGGCATAAGTTCTAGGATTTCCCTGAAACTATTCTGCGAAGGATCTAGTAGAGTGGGTATGTAGAGGCTAGCAGGTTGTACTCCAGATTTGCTAAGTCTTGAGAGAGAAGAGGCTGTGTGGGATCTGCATGCCAACAGGAAAAGAAACACAGCATTTATAGGTCAAATGGATCCAAGGGAGATAAAGAGATTTTGAATTTTTCTAAATTTGATAATTTATGAATAGATAATTACTCATATAATTATGTGATAATATATGAATAGTTCTGATAATAAATAGAAGCATTTGATAATATATTAACAGACCATTACATTTTGGGTTGAAATAAGCTACATCTTTATGGATACAAAACCAAGAATAGGATATGCACTTAAGGAGAAGCTCTTTGATTGTTCTCTGTATCCATAACCCTGTCTCTGAAAATAAGCTGATGTCAAGTCAAGCAAGCAAGCAAGCAGAAAAGAATCAAACTCCATCTCTAAGTGAACATTCAAACTAGGGAGGTGAAGAGGGTGAAGTAAGGAGAACATACAAATGAACAAAGGTTTCATCTATCTGAGTACCCTATTTTTGGTCACAGCTGCTCAGGGATACTTAGAATATAAGAAAAAAGGAGGGACAAGACAGGGCACTTTTTACCAGCTGCTCCAATTAATGGTTTAAGGTCTTTCTCTGCAAGGGCTGCAAGAACAGTATCATATTTTTAAGACATCTGCAAGGGCTGCAAGAACAGTATCATTTTTAAGACGTGCTAGGAAACCTTGCCCTTATTTGATTTGTGTAATCCCTTTTTGAACCTGCTTATATTTCGACATCCACAAAGCCCCTTGGCAATTAATTCCAGAATTTAATTAAATGTTTCGTGAAAAAGAACTTGCCTTTATTGTTTTTCAGCCTGAAGACCAAATAACCTGTAGCTTTTATAATCTTAAGAAAAAATGAGTGATGATCCTGGCTATTCACCTTTCCCCTCCCATGTTGGTGTTTATGGACTGCTACTGCTCCAGTCTTTTCACTCCCAAGAATGTGGTCCTTACCAACTGATCTTTTTTCAAGTTTTTTCTTCCTAGATCTCTTCAAATTCTTGCTGAAAGGACATAGCTCAGATCATGGCCATTTTGTATGAGGTTTGCACATATCCTTTACACTACAGAGCTCTAGAGCCTCAATATGTTAAGGGTAGAAATGTGCTTCAGCTCCCCATTTGCTACTCCATTTAACTGTCTGAAATCAGAGGCACAAAGGGATTCAATTTTATGCCATCCTTTGTTACACTTCTGTCTATCATTCTATATTTGTTAAATTTCAGGTCTGTGACTAATGTAGGAAATACAGCTTGTGCTACAGTGTGGTGACACTACTAGTTCATGTCACACAAGCTCTGCCTAAGTGTTGATCCATGTGGTGGAACATCACCTGCAAATTCAGTCATCCAGCTTACTGGTAGTCATAGTGATGTGTGGTGCAGGTGGATGTTTCCAAGGTCTTCAGTAGTCTAATGGTCATGAACTACCTGCTTGAAGTTGTTTTCCAGAAGTGGCCACTCCTTCCTCCTAGACAGGCAACAGCTCCATGGACAGGTCTTTGCGTGTGTTTATATAGAGCACCATGGCCTCTGCATTTTGCACACATGCTTCTGCTTTTTCCATGCAAGATTCTTGGTTCATTTCATCCTGTCAGTGTATATATGCATTCTATATCCACTTTCTCTATGTGTCTAGCTGTAAGGAAGAGTAATTTAAGTACTCCTAGTACTACAAGAGCATTTGCTGGATAATGTTCACATCGCTACTATGGATACTTAGATGCTAATTTTTTTCCTTGTGTATTCTAACTGCATACTTGGAGGGGGAAGCATATTCATGCAGGTGGGATTGAGGAAGCCCTTCTGGTTTAAATATGTGGAGGCTGGGGGAAAAAAATCCTCCAAGGGAGTTAGTTTAAATGCAGAACAGCTGGTCATACCTTCCATTTGGATTCTGTTATCGGTGTCTTTTTTAATACAGGAGAAATGTTTTTTAGCTGAAAGAGGAAGTATGATGAGTAGATCCTAATCAGATACAATACAAGAAGCCTCAATTAGATTCATTTTCCATGTAATCAAGCCACTAAAAAACCCACTTAAAGACACCAGCACCATTATCATGAACAATGAGGCAGTTTCCCCTGCAGTATTTTAAGTGTGTAGCTGTGACTTCAGAATAATTTTCTCCACCAACATGCATATATCCAGGGCTGTTTGGGATTACTTTGTTTATCATACTGGAAGATCAATTCTAAATGTATGCACTGAAGCCTGAATAATTTATTTTCTAGCCCATTATAACACTTTGGAGGGTCTAATTCCATAGGCAGGTTTTCTGCACATGTGTCTGTGTATCTCTTGGGAAAGAAGAGACAGACTCAATCTATGCTTTTAGAGTAAGCCACCTGCTTTACTGCTTGACTCTGCTGTATAAATGCCTATGAGAAATTTGTCTTGAGCAGAACAATCCTCTCCTTCCACAGCCAATTGCAAAGTCCGAGGTGTCAAAGAACCCACTACTGGTGTCTTTATACACACAATTTTGTGACTCAGGCACAGATGTACTGAACAACCTATTCGAGATTTACATTGAGGTCTGTCCTGGAACAAACACTTGGCTCAAATGTCCTGAGTCTTAAGGCTATGACAGTATTCCTTTTGGTGTCCCACTGTTCTGGCCTTAGAATAAAAGATTTTTTGGGGAAAAAAAAGAAACATTTGCTGGGGAAATTGCCTTGCTGGTAAGAGAGTGGATTATCGTGAACCATTAGGCAAATAATGTGTTAAACATTTCACAAGCTAATTTTAAAAAAGTGCTGTTGTCAGTAGCCTGACATCTTCCGAGGGGATTTTTTGTTTTTAAAGTCAACTCTGCACTCACCAAATGGAGTCAATACAGACTCTCATTTGGCTGCCAGTAGATCATGTTTAAGCTGTAGACTTCTTGCAAATCTTTTTGTTTTAATGTTTTCTCTTTTAACCATGACAGCATCACTGTCTGCATGGAAGCCCACAAATTGTCAAGAGTAGCCCTGTTAATGGTTTTGGGTTTGTTTAATTTCACATCTCGACAAGCCCTGAAAACTGTCAAAACTTATCATCTCCTCACTCTGCTTCTGACTGTTTGGCACAAAAAAAAGAACGTGGGGGTGGGGTAGGGAGAGAAAAAGTGGAGGAAAGGGAACATCATAAATAACTATGTAAAATTATCTGTAACTTAACAGTGCTTTAGATATCAAGAGGAAGAAGTAAAACCAGACAAGCAGCATAGAACCAACTACAAGTTTTCTTTTGGCTCTGATCCAGAATAAATAAAAGCGATCCCTCTAATCCCTGGATTTTAGACTGGGAATTAGGCTGTTGTTCAGTTCAGAAGGGGGAGTAGGGGAGCAGGGAGCAAACATTTTGAATATTTCAGACTAGAAAACATTCTGCTATTGTTGGAAAGGCTCCTGTGGCTGTCTTGGTTCCACATAGCATGTCTTTAGCCAGGTGCTTGAGTGTTAAAATGGCCATTGGGCTGAGACTTACAGGTCTGCTTCACTCCTTGGGGCACAGGGGGCTTTAGGGAGCAGTTTAGACTAAAGTTAAGGGCAACCTCTGTTTCTCAGGGCCTGGTGTGACAGCTTAGCAAATTTATTCGGGAAGCATGAGGGGATGTTCTGGTGTGGGAAAAGGAACAGGGCTGAACTAAGGTGGAGCAGTCTTCAGTAGTGTGTGCTGACACTGTGAAATCCAGTTTGAGCCAGATGGTTTAATGTTCAAAGGATTCTTTTGTGCACTTCAGGGTTTGGTTAATCAACCTAAGGAAGAGCTGTGCATTATCTCTTCAAAAATAGGAAGATAATGAGCTGCTAGAGAGCAGAGTATCTCTGAATCGGGAGCAATGTAGTGAGATACTCCTGCTGACCAATTGACCTGAAATATTCATCCTTGATCTAAATGGGTACAGCCACTGTCGTCGTATTTTGCATGAACCATGTCCTGGTTTTATGATGTGTTGTGTCACTGACTGGTGAATTTCCAGGTTCTGCAAACGAGAATGACTTTGTAGGGAGATGATGCTGGATTCCAGTGTCCTGAGGGCAATGATGTCTCAAGCATTATGTGTTGTACATCATAAAGAATTTAGTGGGTGATGGAGGAGCAGGCAAGCAAGTCTTGCAAGACCCACCTCCTGTAATACGAATGATAGTGGTAGGTGTTGGTATCACTCAAAGCAGTGTAGCAGCTACCCAGGGGGCACGAAAGGTGATGAAATAAGCTGCCTCTTATTGGTGCTGTCGAATTGCTTCAGAACAAAGAACTGAAGATAATAGCTCAATGTATTGCAAGGTCATGCCTCTGCTGCTGTTGGGCATCCGCCTTCGTTAGGCTTAATTGGGCTGTTTGTGCAGCCTCACTGTCCCTGCAGCTCCAAGGCTGAAGAGGCAGAAGTGCAGTTGTGTTTTCCATCCCATTCCTCAGCCAGTTTAGTGCTATTCCTGACTATTTCAGTGCTCTGACCAGCTCAGTTTTAACTTGTGTGTCTGCCACCTCTGCTTAATGCTGTTCTGTAGTCCAGTAGACCTTCAGAGTTTTATTCGCATTGTAGGGAATTGATTCCTAATTTATTTCCTTTTTTTTTTCCCCTGTGGGCTGTGATGATAGCTTTTGTTTATATCCTCTCAGTTGCCCTAAATGGTTTTCTATGAGTTATTTTCTTTAAGTAGCCTTCCCCCTCCTCTCCCTTGGTTATTCTTTAATCATTTTGGACCATGTTAAAGATCATGGTCTGTAAGAGGGCAGAGATTTCCAGTGTACATCAGCGTGTGGACTGTCCCTCCATGGTGTTTGTAGAGGGTACCTGTGAAAGGGTGAATATGATGATGTGGGATGCCTGTAATATGAAAAGACTGGTGAATGAAGTGATTTGAGTGCCTGTGTCCTGGAGTTTGTCTTCTCTCAGTGGAGACATGCAGGTTGATGCAGCTGAGGTACATTGCAGTGAGGTATAGTTCTGTTCCTTAGTTCTGAACAAGGTAGTCTGGTTAGCAGCTAGGGTAAAATGTCCTACCTTGAGACACAGCTGCCTTGATTGTCCTTTATTGGAGGAGAATTCAGTGGCATTCAGAGACAACCTTAGTAATTAGTGTAAGAAATTGCTTTGGCTTTTGTGTTTCTCTTCTGTATTTCATTTCTGAGACTTAGCTCTGCCCCAGGATTAGTTCTATCTCTTTTTCCTTCCCTGGTTCATGAGCTGCCTTATGTTCATCCACTTTATGCAGATATTTAATGGATATGCTCCTGTGTCTGGCATACTACTCTGTGAACACAATTTCTTTCCTAGTCTTTAATTGATTTGGATAATAAAGTGCAATTATAAAACTCAATAAAATTTGGTTATTTTAAAGGGAGAGCAGGAAAGAAAGAAAGCTAAGTGATGCTCTGCTCTGTGACTATAATAATGCAAAATCCCCTTTGGTTTAATTCTAGCTAATTGCTCAGCTTTACTCAGACTGTTACCATTCTGCAGGCTCTCTTGCAGTTACAAGCAGCATGCTTATAAATGTTTGCATTTTTGGAAAGTTCCTTGTGTATATAATAACTGTAAATTTTACGTTTTTGTGGTGGCTGCTGCCTGCACTGACATCCTCCCTTCTCCCTGTTCACATGCTTGGGAGCCTGAACTACTACTCCCCCTCAGACTTTTCCTAAACCAGCCAAGTCCTTTTCCAAGGACTGAGTTACCAATCCAGTGGTCACATTAGGAGGAAACATCTGTTTGGAGTTTTTTAATGTGGTGGGAGGATTCTCCCTCCTTCTCTGGTCCTTTACACTCTAAATGCTTTCTTGCTTCCAAGGGAGGCTAGACCTTAGACCTGAACTAAGAAGTGTGAAGTATCCTACTGGGGGGATGATCTGGCAAGATTTAGGGTTGGACTTGATGATCTTTGAGGTCTTTTCCAACCTGGTTGATTCTGTGATTTGTCATGGCATGTGCCAGGGGTGGGAGATGGCATATTGGGATGGGAATAACAGGGTATTGAACATGCTTCAGCCATTCTAGGCAGCTCCCTGAGTTACCTAAATAGGACAAAAATTTGTTTCAGTCCCTTTGAGAGCTGAACCTTTGGGAATTTCTCCTTTACTCAGTGTCTGCTTTTTCACTAGAGAGGAAGAGACCTGATATCTGATGTTGTGTCTTGGATTTAGGGCACTGCTGTCTTTTTCTTGAATGTTTTATGTTACTGATGATTTCTCCTGTATACATATTTTCTTTCTCCTTTGTTTTCTGTTCCACCACTGCCACATTGCTATGGATTAATCTCTGGGGTTGCTTGTATACAATAACTGAGTTTCTTTGTTTCTCTTTGTTTTCCCAGTTGGGAGGCTGTGGAATCCTTGGTGTAGGCATCTGGCTGGCTGTTACCCAAGGGAACTTTGCCACCCTCTCCTCTTCTTTCCCGTCCCTCTCAGCTGCAAACCTACTGATCGTCACAGGGACGTTTGTCATGATCATTGGCTTCGTGGGCTGCATAGGCGCCATCAAAGAAAACAAGTGCCTCCTGCTGAGTGTGAGTATTAAACTGCTATGCCACTGCACTGTTTTGCTGCCTTAAAGTGCTGGTGCTATTCCAGTGCATGTTACAGTGACTGGGATTTCAACAGAAATTGCCCACATGACATTGATGCCGAGAAAAGGCTGAAAAAGAACTACCCCCAGACTTGTATCTCAGAGGTAGCAGGGATTTGTTTATTCAGCACTGGGCACAAGGGGGATCGCTCCACCAAACTTGCGCAACCAGAGACAAAAACTTCACAGTTTATATATATTAAAGAGCTCATGCATATTCATTATTTCCAGGAATAGGTGGTCATTATTACAATTAGTTCTTGGAAATCATTATCATTATCTCCTCCCACTTGGCATTAGTCCCATGGTCTCTGGTGGTCGTCCGGGGGTCGTTGGGAGGAAGGCTGATGGTCTTCATCAGCTTGACCTTCGAGTTTGGCACATACTGCTAGGTCATGAGTCCAGCTGCATCTAGTTTTTCTTCCTTGTTTTACGCTACCTAAGCTAAAATAATGCCCTAAGTTCTACCCTTTTCATGCTTAATAAACTAAGACAATTCCTTATTAATCAACCTTTTTCTTCTTGTTTATTCAGGTGCTTTCTACCTGACTATCCCCTATCCTACTCTTTGCTTTGGCTATTCGATTCTTGTTATCAACATGGGTGAGGTGTGAGTCACCTTTGAATCAGGCTTCGATCGCTCTAAGGAGCTGCTAGGTCATTCCTGACTATGCTTTCAATCTGTCCATAGAGGGTGAAACTTGCAAGTGTGGTATCATTAGTGGTGGTGTAGGTTTTCTTGAATTCCTCAGAGAAGAGGAAGAGGCATCTTTTGCAGTGTATTCTTGAATTATTTTTTTACTCAGCTTTGATAGGTATCTACTCCAAATGTCTGCCCTGGTAGGACTGATGATCTGATGTCCTGGGCAGAAAGATCATGGTAGGCAGGAAACACTATGAAGAGGTTGATTTTGGTTTACATTGAAAATGAAGCTGGTTTTGCCAATCATTACCTCTCAAAAGGCTGAGATGTCAGGAAGCAAAGGTACCAGCGTAAGGAGACTGCTGTGACACCAAAAATTAATAAGGTGCCAGCTGTCCATGATTTCACAGAGGCTTGAGCCACATCCCTGGTGTATTTTATCAAAATGTAATTTTATGCCACTCAAAACTGAAATTTAGGAGTAATGAATGCCTGCTGTAGTTGGTGCTAGTGTATAGTTTGCATCCTTTTCAGCTTGAGGACCAGGTGATGTTGCTGCTCAAGTCTAGGCTTCACAGTGAGGTTTGGCAAACCTCAGAGTGAAGTGAAGTTGGAATTCACTTTGGTGATCTGGTGATGCCTTTGTAAAAGGCTGTTCCTTACTGTGCTTCACATATTCCTTTTGTTCCCCTGGGAGCTGCAGAATGAGTTGTGGCACACAGCCCCTAAATCTCCAAGTGACTGTGAGATTCCAAGCCTCAATAGAGGACTTGTTCCAGACCCCTGCCTTAATTGGTTGTTTCTGCTGATTTTTAACCAGTCAGGACTAGTCAGTCTAGGCTAGTAAAGATTGTTTATATGGCAGGTATGTGGTTTGAAACTAAAATGGACAATACAAATCAAAATTAAGGCAGTTATATAAGATTGTTTATATGGCAGGTATGTGGGTTGAAACTAAAATGGACAACACAAATCAAAATTAAGGCAGTTATGTATGTGGAAATTTAAACTGGGAAGGTTGAAGTCAGAATCTGAGCCTTAAAGTCCTTGACATTTTTAACAGTCCTATAAATACCCACATTGTGGAGAAGGTGTCTGGCCAGCCAGATGTAATGGATTACAGCTTCAGTGCCAATGCAGCAGGAGCCCACAGAGTCCTGAGTCTAATGGTATAGCTCATATGTACACAATTAATCCCCTATTTTGTGCTTTTTTGAAAGCCTAGCTCAAGTGTACCAGCAGTGAGTGGTGCCTTCTTGTGTGTCAGGATCAGGTCAGGATATGGCAATGAATTCTTAGTACTGGAAAAGTTTCAACCTTTTATCTCATATGGTTTGTTGGCCCTCATCTCTCCTTTTGGGAAGGGCAAAGACTGCCTGGATAAACCATCACTGCTGCAGATAGGATGAATGTACAGAGCTGACCCTAGCTGGGCATGCTTTGAGGGAGAGATGCAAGTGTTGTCAGGTATTGCCTCTCCTAATATATGCAGCAAAATACTCAGACTCTAATGCCCTTCGATGCATGACGTAAGGACTGTATTGATGGATCAATTAAGTAATGCAAAGGAATCCAAATTAATTTAGGAACTCTTTGCCTGGGAGAATCAGGAAGCTTGATCTGATTTGGTACCCTCATTTCACTCTGTCTGCGTGTCCTTACCTTTCTGTACTGTAGCTATTCAGTGTGGCCTCTATTTTACTCAATTTTCTTCAAAATTGAGTTATGTTAGAGCTGATTACAGCTACTTTAATTCCAAATAAGCCCAGCTGTAGTGGGTTGAAATACATCTTCATTAGTCTACATTGAATTCACATCTTGTTTAGTCTAGAGTAACTTTCCACAATGTGCATTGGTACTTCCTTCCCCTCAGTAAATACCAGTGAGATTTTTGAGCTCTTCTGCATTCCTTTATTGTGCCCATCTCTTTTGGAAGGGAAATGGATGGTGGTAGAAGCTCCTGTTTTGGGGAGCAAAGCCTTATCATGTAAGTTTGTCCATAGTCTTCCTTTCTCCAGATTCTTTTGGAAGGGAAATGGATGGTGGTAGGAGCTCCTGTTTTGGGGAGCAAAGCCTATCATGTAAGTTTGTCCATAATCTTCCTTTCTCCAGATGGATGGTTCTATTTTAGTAGTGTTTGAAATAGTGTTTTTAAGTTCAGGGCTAGGGCATTTAGTTCTGGCCAAGTCTAGTTTTTCTAGATAACACAGGTAGCAAAATAAATGCTTGAATGGAAGAATTTGCTGAATATCAAACCAAGGCTGTTCTTAGGGTGTGTGGTTGCTCCATCTCTTCATCCTTTTCTTACTCCACAGGTGTTCCCACCACTGTGTTCTGTCAAAATGAAAATAATCTCCTCCCAAACTGTCTGGTTTTTGTTAAGCATCTCTGAAAATTCCCCTTCTTTTTTAAGAGGATTGTTTTGTTGCAGTTGGGTTGTGATAGGATTTACCATTTAACTTGTAAAGGGAAAACTGCTAAGGCTGCCAATATTTATGTCTATGACCCGCAGTGTTTAGCAGTCACTGCAGGATCAAGTCTTTACACTCCTTTATACTACCCTGGACACCACTTAACATCTGGCTTTGGTACTGGTAGTAGCTAAGATTGCTTTTGGAACTGAATTCCTGTAATTTGTGTCTCCAGAAGGTATTGCCATAAATGTGACACGTGTGACTCCGTGATTTGTCATGGAGTACGTTGTCTTGCTCCTGTGTGATGTCACTGCCTTATCTTCTTGTGCAGCATTTGCTTTAGCTAACTCTGTAACTTTTTCTGCCATTTGGAAATAGGAGGTTTGATAGGACACAGATGGAGAAACTGAAGTCTGTCTGTACAGGTCTTTAAGATGGGATGGTAGAGGCTATTTGGTTGTATGGGTAGTATATTCTGTTGTGCTATTCACTGGATAATGTATTTGGATCATCTATTCTGTAGAGATAATTAATCTATTGGTCTGAAGCTTCACAGATTTACTGACTAGAAAGGTCTTACCTGGTGCCCACCAGCTAAGGAGCTGGCAGATATTCCTTACTCAGTGGCAATGTATAGTCAGGACAGTGCTTCACTGATCTCTTAAGAACAGGCTCATTCCTATTTCTCTGCATTCAGAGGAGTAGAATAATACGAAAATGTTAAATAGAGTGTAAAGAAAACATTAAAAGGAAACCTCAGGCATCCTATGCATTCTGCAAAAATATGTAGATGGGGTGAGTTTTGCAGCTGTCATTCTAAGATCTCAGTGAACAAAGAATGGGTGTTTGCACTGGTTCTTATTTGCTCCAGCTACAATGTGAAAGATAAACTTTTCTGTTACTAGATTTCCCTAGGGAAATCAAAGGCACAGGCACTGGTGAGATAAGACACAACCTGGTATATGTAATCTTACATCTGAATGTAGATGCAAATTGGTGAATGAGGCAGGTGAACAGTGCTTTCTTGCTTCAGGAAAGTTTGTTTGACATTTCTGCTAGTCTTGTTGCTCAAGAGTATATAACAGAGGTCCCTCTGCTACAAGCTCAGCTGGAATCAGAAAATGACAGCTTTGTTCTGATGGGTTGGATCACTGTCCTGACCAGGTGACAGAGGTTATAAGCTAAGAGTCCAACTTGAGCAGGTTATTGTATGGACTTCTACTGGGTTTTTTTAATATTTGATCCTGCATTGCTGGATCATCTAGCTGTGCTGCAAATCTTTATGGAGTATCTTGACACAGAATTAGGAATCTCTCTTTGCTCATTTTCCCTTTGGAGATGTGATATAGTTCTAATGTCCATCAGAGGCATTAGCCATATCCATCATCTCTGTGAATTTTAACAAAATGTTTATCTTGAGTGCACTTAACCCCATTGCAAAGCATGTGCTTTCCAGCTAGGGGCAGGTCCTTCAGCAGCTGAGCCTCAGCTTCTGTACCACTCAAACACAATCAGTGATGGTCACTTGATCATAGTGCTGGCTTTAGGCAGGTGCTGTATGTACACTCATTTCACTATGCCAAAGAAATTTGTGCCTGATAAGTACTTTCATGCTCAAACATTGACCTAGCTGATCCTTAAGTGTCTGTGTAAACATTGTCTTTTAGGTTAATTGCTTAACATCTATGTTTGAGGAGCTAAATTGCCTGAATTCTTTGTATTTCGTACATGTTTAGCAGAGATCTATATTTGTGTCTATATTCATTGTTCCATGGATAGTCCAGGTTAAAAGTCTCAGCCCTAGACATTAAATCATGATGGATTATATAATAGCTGTATTACAGTATCCCCTGCAGGCAGCCCATGAGGATGCTCATTCTGTAT